TTCGCACCCCTATTTTGGTCGAGTGGTTTTGACCGCAGGCCCTGCGCAGTTTGGATTGGATCTTTCCAAAAGCAGTTCTGGAGTGAGTATGATTAACTCTGACCTTTTATTATGAACTTTTTTGGCTATTTCTGTGTTGTTCTTGGTTTGTTCTTGCTACAGGGTATACATTTTTTTAGTCATGCTATACTGTGTATTTTGTTCTCTTTTTCCTTCTCCCTTAGGTGCGTGGGTTCGTAACCGTAGCGGAGCCCTATAACGGCTGCTCTGAGTTGAGTAACGGTGAAATTGTGGCAGGCCGCATCGCTCTGCTGCAAAGAGGCCAGTGCATGTTTGCAGAAAAGGCCAGGCACATTCACAAAGCTGGGGCCATCGGAGGCATCGTCATAGGTGAGATATGTTTGATGGAGTCAAGTCACCTAGATCAGGAGTTTTCAATTCTTTTGATGCCAATGTCAAGTCAAGTCAAGTCACCTTTATTTATATAGCGCTTTTAACAATACAGATTGTGTCAAAGCAACTGAACAGCATTAATTAGGAAAATAGTGTGTCAATAATGCAAAATGACAATAGTAAACACTAATTTTTCAGTTAAAGACAGTTCATCATTGAATTCAGTGATGTCAACATCCAGCTCAGTTTAAATAGTATCTTTGCAATCAAGTCAACGGTATCGCTGGAAATGAAGTGTCCCCAACTAAGCAAGCCAGAGGCGACAGCGGCAAGGAACCAAAACTCCATCGGTGACAGAATGGAGAAAAAACCTTGGGAGAAACCAGGCTCAGTCGGGGGGCCAGTTCTCCTCTGACCAGACGAACCAGCAGTACGGAAAAATCAATTGAAGACGTAATAAAACAGACGATGAACACTATTAACAGCAATTATTATATGATGCAATCAAACTTATAGCAAAATGTGGTAGTTCTGTATGTTGTTTCAGGGTTGGCATCATCTGAGGTCCTCTGAGGGGTTGGCATCATCAATGTCCCCTAAATGTAATGATTTCCTCACAAAGAACTCCCCCTCTAAACAAACTTAAATAGGTGGCCTTTATGTTACTGAAACCCAAGCAAATTATTAAAATATTATCTGGAAAATATCCCCCCCCCCCCATTAATGTTACATGTGAAACTGTTTAATTCAGATTCCTTGATATAGCACTTTTCATGGTAAATATTTTTCTAAAGCAGTTTTACAGTTACGTTGACAGCCTCAAAATAAGCCCTTTAGTATTTTTTTTTTCATCTCATATTTTCCACTGACCCGCCTAAAACCCTTTTGTGGGCCCCTGGGGCCTCTTGGACCCCTGTTAAAAAAACCCTGATCTAGTTAATGGACTACATTTGACCATGGCTGCTTAAAATTATTAATTATAATATTTTTATTGCCTTTGTACCAGTGCTATTTTAGTGTTATTTATGTTCCATTAAAATATTTATTCATGTTTTGAATTATATTTATTTTTTGTATTTTCAGTTTTCATTGTAGTTTGTCATTTTATGTAATTTTTATTCGTTTTTTATTTCAGGATAGCTTTAATGTATTTTTAGTTTAGTACTTCAACTTATTTTATTTTAGTTAATTGCCAAAACAACATTCATAATTTTCTTGTTTTTTAAGTTTAAGTCCCTTTTTAATTTATTCCAAATTTTAATTAGCAAAAATGATTAAATAGCTTTAGTTAACAATATAAACAATGTTTTCTACAGAATAAATCAGTCTTAGTATTACTCTCTTCTGTCTCTCTTTGTCGTTTCTGTTTAGATGACAATGAGGGCAGCAGCAGTGATACGGCTCCATTGTTCCAAATGGCGGGAGATGGGCGGAACACTGATGATGTCACTTTACCACTTCTTTTCCTGTTCCACAAAGAGGGTAACATCCTGCTGGAGGCTCTAAAGGAGTACAGGGAGGTGGAGGTGCTGCTCAGTGATAAAGCTAGAGACAGAGGTGAGACACTTTCTAAGACAGAGCGAAGATGTGAATATGAAAAAATTTTAATATGTGAGGAAGGTGGTACACGTTGCATCTACTTTCATTCCTTTCTAATTATCCTTCCTTTATTACTCTTTCCCTCTGTGTTTGTCTTTTCCCTTTCCACTACTTTTTTCCCCCTACCTTCTTGGATGAGCAGAATCCATATTTAAGGGGAAAGCCCTCCCGGGCACCCTGTTGGATGGCAGTAAGTACCCCTCCTCTATGGGTTTCCCTTCATGCATCAAACCCACTTGTTTTTAATGAGTCATGTTGCAAAGATCATATTTACTAGTTGAATGTAAATAAATGCCATCACCAAGTAGGAAATTCTGAACATTCTTTAGGCCCTGAGTTTCTGAGTTGGAGGCATGTCAGTAAGAAAATATGGCAAGAAAATAGATGCGGTGTCTGTACTGATGGTAAATTTATTGAAATGAACTAAATGATTATTTTTCATTTACAATTAAACTAGCTAAGGATCTGTTTACACCTGGTATTAAGATGTGTTTTTGTCAATCAGATCTCAAGTGGAAAACATTAAATACAGGTATAGATGGAGTCTAAAACATTTTGAACTTGTTCACTTTTGACCACTTTCCAGTGGTTGTTGAAAAAACTCATTCGACCAGATTTCTTTCATAGCGTAGACACTTATGTGGTAGAATGTGTTCGAACAGCCACAAAGGACCACCTACTTTCTGCCCACTGATCTAACACGTGAGCACTATGGGACGTGTTTTGAGAAAGTGCACCAAAATAATTTACTCCAACTTGATTACAATTGGAACCGACATTACCATTTGCTTCCTTTCCCGCTCGCTTATAAGCAGCATAAAACTTCCTTCATTCAGGCTGATCACTTGTGATTGTATCTCTGAAAGCTCATCTTAATACCAGGTGCAAATAGTGTTAAAAAACGATAGTCGTGTATAACAGAATATATAACAAATATATAATTCAATTTACAGCACAATTTGTTGTAGAGCAAAACGTTCACATTACGTTCATGACGTAATGGTTTAAAATGAAAAACCCCATTATAAAAACCCTTAGGAAAGTCTTGTGGGAACCCATGGCAAATGAGTTTTCTGTGTTTTGACATTAAGGCTGCAGCACTCTATACGAGCCCAGGAGAACTTGAACACACCAAAAGTTTATGGACTTGAATTAATGCAACTTCACTTAAAATCGGCATGTTTCTGGATGACAAAATCAGATTTTGATGACAAAATGTCATCATTCTCCAAACCTCATGTGGCTTACTAGGTTTTGTCAGTGATGTGTGATTGATATTAAGCAGATTCCTTGTAGTTCATTCAACTGACTTTTTTTTTCAAGGTACGGATGGAGCAGAAGAAGAGGACTGCTCCACAGAGGAGAAAGACCACACTTCTCCCGCCTCTTTGGAACCTGTCGACCAATCACAATTAACTACTCAGGAACAGACAACAGACGACTCCGTCTTAGGACAAGAGTCGGTTCAGCCAGCGGAGGGACTTGGCAGTTACGTCTCCGTGGATGTAGGGGAGGAGCCTGCGGTGGACGGAGACTCCAGCAGCCAATCGGTGGATTCGCTGATGGCTGATTGGCAGGAGGACTTGGCAGCGTTTAAGCAGATGGAGAAGGATGAGCTTTGACATTCCCCTCCATCTCGGACTCTGCTAGGTTGTCCCAGCCATAGCACAGACTGAGAAATCGGTTCTGTCGAATAGGGTCAATATATCAGACAGGTGGGATTAAGAACTCTGACTCGAAGAGCTCATTTTCTACGGCCAGTTCTCAGGGGCTTTTCTTTCCGATTCACATCTTTCCTGTTTTCTTCAACTGAACGCTCACCCACACATTACCACTTGTCTCTTTCTCTACTTGCCTAGGGTGCACAATCAGCCCTGTCTTTGTCTTCCTTCTAACAAATGGATTCCCTGATTATTGAAGCGCAGGCTTAAATCATCAGTGCTGATTAATCATCTGAAGGACTGATTACTTTAATGGCTGGTTTAACTGTGACGAATTGCTTTTTTGCAATAGGATTCATACTCGGTTCTTGTCTCAGTTTGCAGGGTCTGAAAAAAGAAAATACGAAGAACTTTATGGAATGATATATGTGTATGTTTGAGTGTTTGTATGTATGTTTATTGTTTTTGATTAATAAGTGAATCAGCCTGGGAGCCAAACAAACAAACCTCCTGCAGATCAAAAATGCTTCTTCTAGCCTTCTGCATTAAGTATTTAACAGTCTTACACATTCAGTCCAGCTAATATGACTTTATAATGAGCTCAATGTTTTCAAAGAAAAGCATTAAAGGACCACTGATGACAACTTTGCATGTCAGTGACAGACTTTTTTCCAAGGATGAAGGAGACGTGCAAAGCATCCTGAAGGATCCGCCAGGGGGCGCCATTGCTCCATTGCGCCCAATAGCTAATGAATTGACTGGGAGACCATGCCAGAGGGCGTGAAATGTGATAAGCTCAATAAAATTAATTGAAAATTTTAATATATGCTTCTTTTTTATTGGATAGGCTTTCTATCACGTGTAATATTTATGGGGGAAGGGGGAACTTGATTAAATTTTAGCATTATGAACTTGCGCATGTGATAAATTAATTTTCCTCCTTTAAATCAGCAGTTAGGCTGTTGCATCCAGGGGTGTAGCACCAAATGTTGGGCCCCAGTCACACAACCAAGGGGGTGGGCCCCTCACAACACAACATCATTTGCTTAAAATATTGATTTAAAAATTCATAATTTCTTGGCAAAAGCAATTGACAATATTGGAAAGCTCTTTTTCAAGACATGCTTCTGGGGGTGATGAGTGGGAAATGTTTTGGATAATTTGACTAGTTCCTCCCCTCCCACGTCTAGGCATGTGGTTGGTTTGCCACACGCGCTTCAGCAAGATGGCTGCAGTTCTTCGAGCAAATCAGGAGTGCAGGCTGTAAGCCAGCGGTCCACATCACTACAGCAGCGCTTATTCCGGCAGTGTG